TCCTTATATAATTTCTTACTAAACACAAAAAATTTAATAATCCCATAACATTTCATTACAAAACTTATTAATTTTTTATACAATACTTTTTAAAACTTTCTTAATAAAGTTGATTCTCTAACTAAACAATTCCTTAAATTTTCTGAACTATTCCCCTTACTTATAAGTTTATTTATTTTTTTATACATTAATATTACAATAAAAAAATAAAAATAATATTTTTAATTTTTATTTTCTCTAATACAATTCTTATCTTGTATACTTTTCTTTTCACACAATTTTCAAAGATAAAAATTTTCTTGTAAACTTCTTTATGTATAACCTATTGGACAATTTTTTTACTATTTTTACAATACTAATTTTTTACAACTCAATAAAACTTCTACAAAAATTTATTAATTTTCCGGTAAAATTTTTACCGATAAGGTGGCCCTTATTCATTCATAAAATTTCCCATAAATTATCATTCTTTCTCCCTCGCTTTACCTTCCTCAAGTGAAAATGCACTGCTCCAATTTCATTTCCTCCGCAGAAACAATTGCCGGTAACGAGGATCTCCTCGCGGAAATCCTCTTACTGTTACCGCCGATATCCCTTCTCCGATTCCGATCCGTCTCCAGAAGTTGGCTTTCTCTGATTTCCAGTGCCCGATTCTGTCACCTCCACACTCTCCTGAGTCCCACCCCCAAAATCTCCGGCGTCTTCCTCCGAAAATCACCAACGGATTTTCAATTCCTCTCTCTAAACTCAAGTAATTCCTCGCCCTTCCCTTTCAAATTTCATGGTTTCGTTGAGGATCCGGCGGGTATCAAGATTCTGCAATCTTGCAATGGCTTGCTCCTCTGCTCTAGTCTCTGCAAAATCGGCGCCACCCGGACTTATTACGTTTACAATCCTACAATTCACAGATCCTCTTCCATTCCTCCGATCATTGGTGACGTCTCTACGGTCATTTTCGGCGTTAATTTGGCGTTTGAGCCTTTTAAATCGCCTCACTACAAACTAATCTGTGTTCGAAGCACTGCGGAATCAATGTACCATCATCAAATCGAGATTTACTCATCGGAGACCGGTGTTTGGACGCTGTGTGGTGCTCTAATCGTCGCGCCTTTCGATATGGTGTTCGACAATGGCGTGTTCTGGAACGGTGCAATTCACTGGATAAGCCCCAGGGGAAATTCCTTGTATTTTGATGTCTCTAACGAACGGATTGGAAGGATGCCGACACTTCCGATTCTTGAGCGACGGAATTCCAGACGGTTTCGTTACTTCGGGGAGTCCAGCGGCCATTTGCATCTGATGGAAATCTATGGCCCTAGAGGAACCAGCTTCAAAGTTCTGGAAATGGAAAAGGATTACTCCAAATGGGTGGTCAGGTACCATGTTGATCTCGATGCCCTTGTTTCTGCATATCCTGAAATGCTGCGAAATTATCTTGATTCTCGTGAATCCAGTTATTACGCTTTCATAGTACTTTTGCTTATTAGGGAAGAAAAGGAAGAGTCCTCTTCACTGTTACTGCATATTCCGGGCAAGATCATATCCTATAACATAAGGAATAAAACAATCAGGGAACTATGTCACCTACCCACAAACAGCAGGGGAAATGGTGAGGGAAAGGAATCATTACAATTCGGATGGCTTGATGCTTATCAATATTTTGAGAGTCTAGCTTGTGCTTGAGGTTTGAGAATGGTAATTGTTTTCCCGTGTTTGATTGTTGTACATTGGATTGCGGTTTCTGTTTTCTGTTGGTTAAATTATGATTGGTGTTGCTGTGTTTTCAGCACTAATGTCGATTGAGATAGAGAAATGTCTGGAAATGGGTGGTGGTTTAGATAATTTTCAGACTTTCAAGTATGTGTTCTTGTTTGAGAAAAACACATTTTCTCCATTTGGATTGTCCCCTTTCAATCGTATGTGGGTAAGGTATGCATTAAAATCAGTTTATTGTTCCCTGTGAAACTAACCAAACAATGCTGCATTAGGCCTCTGGTTGGTAGGTGCCTTGGCAATGGTAGGCGCACCCAATGCCTCGGCAATGGTAGGCGCACCCAATGCCTTGGCGTTGGTAGGTGCACCCAGCTATGCTAAAACCCCTTACCCACTAACCCAAATAGTAGCTTTTCCAAAAAAAAAAAAAAAAAGGCAAAGGAGCCAACAAAACAATGTCTAGTTTATGAATTGCACCACCAATTTGGGGATAGAAGTTCCAGAATTCCCATCACCGGAAGAATATAGTGGGTTTTTGGAGAATATAGGAGGTGATCCACCGGGAGGTTTCGTTCACCCCTTATTTATTTATTTATTTATTTATTTCATTCTTCAAACCTTTGAAATCCGAGGAAGGCCTATAGAGTTTTTGTTTTTTAAAAAAATAAAATAAATAGGAAAGCCTATAAAGTATCTAGTGAATGATTAAATTATTGATAAAAAAATGCTTTTTTATTTGTATGGTTAGGGTTTAAACCCTCGTTTACTCTCCTCATCTCTCTCCCAGTTTATTTATTTTGTGTTATTATAAGATAATAATTATTATTTTTTATCTTGAAAATAATAAAATTGATTTTTATTTTAATTACAAATGTTATATGTTAATTATTTATTTATTTATTTTAAAATTAAAATCATAACTTATTTTTTTAATTTAAAATTTCATATTTTTTTTTTAAAGTTATTATTATTAATTATTAATTAATTTTTTATCTTGTGTTCTTAAAATACAAGATAGATACCCTTTAATTAATAGACATATCTCATAAAATAAATAAATAAATGCCAACACCTTTGCAACCCCTTCCGTTCTGTCGATTTCGTAGGACCGAATGTTTTGCTGAACAATGATTTGGGCAAACTATGATTATTGACATAGCCCCACTGGGCCGTGTTGAGTATAATTGCTACTATAATACCAATATAAACATGATTAATATCTACTAAGTTAAAAATTTTAATTTAGTATTAAGATTAAATATTTAAATTTTTATAAGATTAAACAATTATTTTTTTGAAATTAGACTTTTTAGATTAAGTGATTCGTTTTCAAATTTTAGTATTTAAATTTAGTTGGTCAAAAATTCAATTTTTATTATTTACTTGAAAAAATGGCTCAAATTCTCGTAATTTTTCATGTTAAAAAAAAAAACAATTATTTTTTCAACGTACGAAAAAACTATTATAATACCAATTATCGCGGCTTTGGCCCGCATGCCAATTATTGGGTTAACTAACATCCGACCTACATAAATCATTCACACTTATATTATTTATCACTATAAAGTAAGATAGTTGAGAAAAAAAAAAATAAATTAAAAATGTTAGAGAAATTCACAAGCATGGGATGCCAAGCTTAAAGACTTTATCCATCTGTGGTTGAGTCAAGAGAATCCAGTGTCAACAGAGTTAATGAAAATTTGTGGCTATCACGAACAGAAACAGGCAGGCAGACACTATTAAATTTTCACACTAAAAAATTTCAATTTTAAATCGCTCTCTCGACTTGTATGCAAGTTTAATGCAAATTAGGAAAGTCTCTAAAACACACAGAATTTATGAAATGAAAAATATATGCCTAGACAAAGAAGATTTTAATTTTAGGATCAAGTCAGATTTTCAAACTTCTACAATAATACTAAAGAGGGATGCTAACGACCAACTTGCTCATGTATACCAAAAAGATTACATCAAAATATTGCATGGTCGAATTTGCATTATCCCAAAACTTGGGTATAAATCCTACCTGTTGTGCAAGGGATTAGGGCCGGTGGGGACGAGTCTTTTTTCATCCAAAGTTTGGTTCTTCTTCGAGGAGAAGAACGTAGTCATGGCCTCAGCCATTGCTGTTTGTTTGGAAGAACCTCTCTTGTCATTATGACAACAAAATCGAGATAGCAAAGTCTTCCTTGCCACAGCATGATCCAACGACCTGATTCGAACACTTGAAAAGATCAAAAGGCACACTACAAACAAGATAATCGCTAATCTCATTGCGGCGTTCAGTTTTCACCCGGCCGATCAAAGGTAAATTTGAAGAGAAAATGAACTTGAAAAGAAGAACGACCTTAATTTTCGAGAGAGGCAAAGTGAATGGGATTGAGGGGTGAAGTGGAGGAAAGGTTTAAATGAAATCAAAGAGGCCATGGAGACCTATATTAATGGTGGTACTTGGGATTTACGGTAAAGGCAAATTGATACATCAATATCTGGTCTGACCACAACCTTCACCAAACCTTATTAATTGCCATAAAATTAACTTCCATTTCTATGCAACCTGGAAAACAGACACCGAGCCATCCTAAACAATAACATTCTGTTTTCATAGCTGCCTCTTTATTTCGATTGTCCGAACAACACTAGCTTTCTTCTCCACTGGGAGGGTTTCCACGTGCATTCGAATTACTAACCCAAGCCATGCCCCATGTACTTAAAGCTGACACACTGGTGTTGGAGTGTTTTTGATGAAGTAGTATTTCGGTTTTGATGATGAAGGGCAAGGGTCGAGGAGTGGAACGAGGGTTTGGGCTTTGGACTTTTGGGCCTAAATTGCTTGTTCTGATTCTCAGGTCGATTTTCTTGGGCTGATATCTACGCTGGCTTTGTGGAGGTATGGAGGCCCTTAAAAATTGTGTAAATTTAAGTATGCACTTCTGTTGAGCAGTAAAATCTCATGTTGGAATATAGTAAAAAACTATGTATGATTTAAATAGAAGAATAGTTAATTACTTATAAATAATTAGTTTTAAATTAGATGTAAACTTTATATTGAAACTCACATGTTAAATTTTTATATGTTTGCATGTAGTTTAATACCAACAATTTAAGTGATAAATCTCATTTCAGTGTAAATAAAGTCAAGAGTTCAAGCTTCAAGCATGTGAGGAAAATAAATTAAGAAATGGAAGAAGCTTTTTTTTTTATTGTAATTCATAATTAAATAAAAAAAACTAAATAAAAAATTACTTTGTAATTCGAATTGTATTGAATTGCAAGACATAGACCCTATGATGAGGAATGAGTATCTAATATCTAAAGATTCATATTTTATAGTTTATACTGTATTAAATTATAAAATATGAGACTCAAAACTAAAATAAAAAGTAAAAAAGAAAAAACGCAGATTATATGTTTTCATTTATATTTCGGGAGCATTGGCCATAATTGCTTCCATGTTAAGACCGTCTCTCTGAGGGCACTTCATCTTGACCATTGGAGCGTGTCCCTTTTCCCATGTCCATGAGCCAGTTCAAATGATTCCCCCTAAAATGGGAGATTATCAAACATACACTAGATGGCAAAAAGTGACTGATGAATATTCCCTAAATCATATAGAGGTCAATTCTTAACATTAACTTAAATTTTCCCCTTTTTTTCGCTCTTTCGTTGAGGTGAGGTTAGTCATTCCTATTCAATTCGATAATGGATTCGTCCTTATTTCATGAATTAATACACCAATAATATAAGTAATTAATTAAAAGAGGCGAAATACTGGAATTAAATTCTTATCTTATCACTTCTGTGACAATATTTAACCCGTTCAAGTTGAGGGAATCAATCTTGCTTAGTCTTTTTCCTCTTTGTCCTACAAATTAGAATGAAAAAAAAGGCGAGACAAGAAAGTGGTGAGAATATTATAGATTTCTCCAAAATCTTCTCTTTTCCTCTCTTGATGCCTTTTTATCCTCGTACTCTATTGGAAGAAAAAGATAATTGTGGAATAAGTATCCGAAAGAAAATTATTAAGAAAAATACGAAGAGACATAAAACTTCCCTTTGTATCTTTTCTAGGGGGTATTAGAGCAGCACAACATATTTTTGGGGCAGGGGTGACAATATTTTCCATCATGCGGGAGTAGGGTGGGTATAAGATGCTTTTTCTTTTTTTCATGAAATTTTGAAGAGATTCCATTTTTTATGAAAAATTTTAAAAAATACTAAATCTAACCCAATTTAAATATTCTCAATTTTTCATGATACCATAATTGTAGTAAGGATTTCTAAAATATTAATGTTCTAAGGATGGAGTTGGACTTAGACTTTCTGTGAAGGACTGTCTGCGAGCTCAGGTTGAATGCTTTACAATGGGTAAGGTTTGCAAAGTGCACGTTAATTATTTTACATCTTTATCAATTTTAATCAACTTTTTTTAATAAAATTAGTAGTGATCACAATTTTATGTGATTCCCTACAACTAAAGTTCTGGTTGAGAATAGCATAGATAGGTGAAAGATAGCTCCTGCTAATTATTGAAGATTTTTCCCCTTTTTTTTTGTGAAATAAGCAATTTTTTTACATTTAGTGTGAATGTGAGTGTCACATGTGAACCAAGTGGATTTTTTTTTTTGGGGGGGGGGGGGGGGTGGTGGTGGTTAAGTAGCCAGGTGGATTACGACCTTAAGGAATCATTGAGTTTCAATTCTTTGTAGAGGCATCATCAAATTTCTCTATCAGAGCATGTTTAGTAATTAAGCTAAGAGTTACTTGTTTTAATTTGCAGTTCAAGATGGGGTATAGCTTCCAATATCATCAAGGACTCACTCATGTTCAGTAATTTAAATTGTACTATAATTCAATGCAATTTCAAAAATAATTCAAATTACATAACACTGGTTTTTTTTTTTTTTTTAAGTTAAACATGTTTATAATATTATCCATCTAACCTTCATGAACTTCCAAGCTCCAACTAGCATTGAATTTTTTTTTCTTTTCTTTTTCAGCACTCAAAAAACCTAAATAGTGGCACACATTATTAAAGTATATATAATATGAGTAAAGATCTATTTATATACAAATTTTACATATCATATTTACATAAAATTTTATTATTCATCTCTTTATTTTTAATAATTAAAATTTATAATATTATCCATCTAACCTTCATGAACTTCCAAGCTCCAACTAGCATTGAATTTTTTCTTTTCTTTTTCAGCACTCAAAAAACCTAAATAGTGGCACACATTATTAAAGTATATATAATATGAGTAAATACCTATTTATATACAAATTTTACATATCATATTTACATAAAATTTTATTATTCATCTCTTTATTTTTAATATTTAAAATTTATTTATTTTTTATCATATTTATTAATGATATTTTTTTATCAAAAAAGTCGTAATAAATTTTTACTATTGAAAGTAAATAAATAAATTATTAAAATTTTATGTAATTATAATATATAAGATTTGTGTGTAAATAAATCCTTATTTATGCAATATTTACATACACAAGATGTTAATAAAATCAGGCCTCTTCTATGACTTAGGAGAGTATCCATGCCTTGCCACCATTCATATTGAACTTCTTTAGCCTTCCAAAGAACATAACGAGGATGAGCACCCATTTTCCCTTGTCACTCCATCTTCCTGCAAATCCATACCATCGATCTACACAATAGCTTTCAGGTTTCAGCTGCCTTTTGCAACCATAACCAGTCGAAAAACCGACATTCCCATAAGCACTGCAAATCACGCATCAAATTAATATTAGTCCGGATCGATTAATTGAATAATTACTCATCAAGTTTAATCAAAATTAAAGGATTTAATTAATTAATCACTGCTCCCTCTATTCATTTTGTATAATCCTAACTTGATTTTTAGATTTTTCAAACATAAATTTGAGATGAAAATTTAATAATTTATATGAATAATAATTAAAAAGGTTTTTTTTTTCTATAACAGATTCTTGTGGAGTATTTTTATTTGATAAAAAAAATTTAATTATTATTTATATAATAGGTTAAATTTTTATTTAAAATTTTAATTTAAAAAATAAAAAAATTAATTAATACTACTAAAAATTAAGAAGGGAGTAGTTTTTTTTCACCTCATGACCTCCAGGGTGATGTTCAGAACATTGAAGTTGAGGGGATCGTCCTTTATCTTTTCTCTCTCGGTGATGCAAACGAGGACAATGAAGATGACTAGATAAGAGAGTTGAGAAAAGATGAGAGATTCCACAAAGGTTGATCTGATCTGGTCGTCGTCCTTGTTATTTTCTGAATCCATTTTGCGATATTTTCTCGGAAAAAAGGAAGTGTATGGAGGGAGGTACCTGTTGAACCACAGAAAGGAAAAGCCATATACATCCATTTCATTTGTACATTCAACGGGAAAATGTCTGCCACTGGGAGGAGAAATGCTGTGTCTAGGATTAATTCTCATCACTTTCTTAGCATTTTGTTCTCTAGTCAATTTGTTCTTAATAGCATGGATCAGGTCCAATTATGACCAAGATATATACAATATGGAGAACCTCATGCTACTCGGATTAGGAATGGTACGTACCGTAATTCAGATGTGACAAAAAAAATTTTAACTGTAAAGGAAACGGATGTACCATTTCTGGGTTCTATAGAACAAATGCAGAAACCAACTTTAATGTATGCCAAGAGTGTTGTAAATCAGAGAATCCAATACTAAGCATATATGCTGATTTTGGGTTACTTTTGGTGGCAGAAATCTGTTAAGTGGTGAATCTCTTATAATGAGTTGGGTGTGTATATATATATATATATATTGAACTGGGGTAATTTTAGGGGTGATGGGAGGGATTGCCTGAATGTTAAACTCAGGTTTTGAGCGTCCATACTATTCCAAGGAGAAGGGCCAATAAATTATAAGGTGTTAGACAAGAATAAAATATGTGTGCAATTGAATTTCTGATAAAAATCACAATCATTTTTTTATTTAAACTTTTGAATTTGCAATTTAATTTAAACTACTGATTCCATCATTTAGAAGATAAGTTCAAATCGATCTTGTCTTCAATCTGAACCAAGTACAAAAGTAGCAGGAAGGACAAATTATTTACATCTAGACAATTTTTTCTTTTAGAAATTTTTTTTCATACCGATTGCACCAAAAAAAAAAAGTTATAACTTCAGTATTAGAATTATCACAATAGTATTAATAAAAAAAATTTTATATCTACTTTTATTAATCAATTATATTTTGATAATTTCAACACTTATTCTGAAAAAAAAAGAAATACAATACATATTAAAAAAAACTTATCCTTAATTTTTTTTAAACTGCACTGAAAATTATTTTCCCACTCAAACATTAAAAAATGAGATTAAGGGTTTGTTTGATTTAACTTATGAAAATTTTTATTTTTTGAATATTGTTATGAGTGATAAGTTTAAATTTTTATTAAAAAAAATTTTAAAAATTACTTTTAAAGATAAAAAAAAAATGAGTAAAAAGTGAGTTTATAAAAAATTTAAATTTGTAATTTTTAAATTTTTACTGTTTAAAATTCTTTTTAAATTAAAAAAATTTAAAAATATAAATTTAAAATAAAAAATTTATCTTATAAAATATAAATAATATAAAAAAACTGAAGCTACTAAAACTCCCCCAAACAGCCCCTAAGATTTGTAAGACGAACGGGATAACAAAGGTGCAGCCATAAGCGACTTATAAAGTTATTTAAATATTTTTAATAAAATAAAATTTTTATATTATTTTATTAAAAATATTTAATTAAATTTATAAAATGATTTATATTTTTAATGTATTGTTCTTTTTATAAAACACATTTTTACTTAAAAATATATAAACAAAGAGGAGAACAGAATCACCGTATTAGAAACGGAAGAACTCACATCATAACGACGAAGACCACCAAGATCGCCGGAGAGATGGCGGAGAGGTCAACAACAGACTCGCCCGTGTGCCGTGAATTTACCACCTGAAACAAAGATGCCACTGATTTCTCATACCATGTAAGCCCATTCAAATCCTCCAAATTCCATTCCATGGAACAGAACAGTATCAACTGAATCAACACGAATCCGATCATTGTGGCGGCGAGAAAACAACAGTGAATGCCGGAGAGCAAATCTCCAAACCCCAACTCCCTGGAATTCCTCAGGATGTACCGGAATTCCCCTCGCTGGGAGATTTTCTCCAGAGCACAGATGAGAATTCGGAGGAAAACCGGGTACAACGTGTTGCCAAGAAAAATCTGTGGGATCAGGAGCAAGAGGAGGCCGGAATTTTTCTTGAAGATGATCATGTTCTCGTTGGTCGGAATAAAACCACAGTTGGAAAACGTAGAAACGATGGTGAAAACAGAAAATATGAGCACGGGAATGCCTCTGGTTTTGAGTACTTCCTCGGCACTTGGAACCAGGTTGACATAAGTGGATACCAAAACAGAGCCACTCACATGGACTACCAAAAAATAGCCTAAAACCACATAACTCAAACACCTAATGGAGTTGTGCTTGAGAAGAACATCCCTACTTAAGGATTCGTAAGTGTTAGTTTCCAGGTTTTTTTGGTGAGACACGGTTAAATGTTTGTCATTGGTACAAGAGTTTTGGGATTCACGAGGAATTTGGTGACTTTGAATCGAAGTCAAATATTGTTCAACAACGTCGAGCGTAGACCCCCTTACTAAGCAGGGTAACTGCTTCTTGTTAGGTTCAGTTCTAGTAACCAAACCCAATTCGATTTTATCATTATCGACGCCGTTTTCGAGAGGGCGCGGTTGTTTGGGGAGGAACCTGGAGCGGGCAAGCAGAAGGCCGAGAATTGAAGTGAAGACCTCGCCGCCGAGCAGCATCATGACCGTGATGATTATGAGTTGGGGGTTGGAGAAAGCCTCCATTTCCACGGTTGACATGCTTGAAACAGTTGCTGCAGATACCGACGTGAAGAAAGTATCAAGGTCATTGGGGGTAAAGGAATTGCTTCTTGGCTTTGTTTTCTTCAAAGCCAAGTACCCGAAAAGAGAAATTGCTATGAAGTAAGTTAGATGAACCCAAAACGGGTTTAGACGGATGAGAAATATGAATGAATGGGTACAAAGACGCTGTAATTTTCTAGCCAAAAACATGAGATTCCTCATCTTTAGGTTGAAGACTGCAGCCAATTAAGGTTTTATGGCCTTACTGGAAGTGGAGTGGGGGTGTATATATAGGGAGCACTCCTCCAACTGTTAAAATTACCCTCTAGGTACGGATCCGTTCTACGTGCGGATCAAACATTTTATTAAAGTTGGTATCATCAAGTTTAATTTGACTAATTAACAGCAACAAGCTCCTGGGACGTACTTACCCTACTTATTCCACGTAATTTTATTATTATTATTATTATTATTTTGGTTTACATGATCATGATTTTTAAATTAATTTTTATGTATTTTGAAATTAGGTAAATCATGCAAATTACCCCCTAAACTTATTGAGAGGTGGCAAAAAGCCCCTTAACTGAAAACAGTAGCAAATGACCCCTTAAACTCGTCAAACGGTGGCAAATCAGCCTTCTCCAACGCTGATGTCATCATTCCGTCCAAACTTAACCGAGTTCATGTTTCCGTAGGATCCATTGTCCAGATGGACCTGATATA